AGAGGGTGCTCTTAGGCATTGTGGTCATGCTTGTTGAATATTGAGCTGATCTATGCAAGTTGGAAACAGAAGTGTTGAAGCTTTACCCTCTTGCTGTGACTGAGTTTACTCCTGATAAGAATTACTGTGATGTCCCGTCTTCTGGCTTCCTGGGGTCATAAAATGCTTACACATTCTTAGTTTAAAGAACATGTATTAAGACGTCTTTGTGGTTATCACCGTTTATTCAGGGCTCTGTCAATGATTGCCACTACATCACATTGATTACATTAATTCGTGATTTGGCAGAATGAACTACAAAGAGAGTTGGAGCATAAAAACAGCATGCTGCAGGAGCTGATGAGCAGAGATCAACAACAGGTAGTATTTTTCTACATCGGTCCTTTAAGCAGGATGATTTTATGTTCTGTCTGCATCAAACATAAGTTCAGAGTTGCAATAAACAGCTGATTATTCCTCTTTTTTTCAGATTCCCACCAGTGCAGAAAATAATGGCTGTTCTTACCCTGGAAATCCTGCTCCTTCTGTGTCTGGCGTAAATATTATTTTTGTCAATAAGACTTCTCAGTATTTTGGCTGATTGCTTTACACTTGAAATGTCATAACCCGTATTCTAAATTTTAGACCAGCAAGTTCTTTGAAATGCTGAGATAATGTGATAAGATCGTTTGAGCATTGATTACTGCTGATCAAATGATTACCCAGAAGGCACTATGCTTCAAAATAGAGTTTCTGTGATATAACAAACGTCGAATATATGCAGAAATAGCAGTGTAAACAAGCATGAGGGGGTTTAGCTCAGTTTGTTTGTTTGTGCTCTGTCAGCAGGCAGAAGAAGTTCAGCTGCTCAGAGATGCACTTCGGAGTTTGAGGAACAACTTCAGAGACCACGACCCGCAGCACCATACACTGGACACCCTAGAGCAGGGCATTGTATCACTCATTGACAGGCTGCATGTTCTGCACACGCAGAGGGTACAAATACCATGCATTCACAGAACACCTGATAAATTAGTCTTATGAGTTTAGTTAGTACCTGTGCTTTGTGGGTTAAAAGCCCAAACTGTGTGGTGTCACGAGTCGATTGGCAAGTCTGCTGTAACTAAAAGTAGCTGCTGACTTGTTAAACTATCAGCTGATGATCACTTTAAAATCAGATTTTTACCCTGAATTTTTCTTGAAGATTCAAAGAGGGTTTTTGTTTTTTGTTTTGGTCATTTTATTCAGGGAAGGGGGAAATCTCCGAGATGCAAAGCCCAACACGGAGATTTAGACTCGTCGTCTTCCACAAGTAAGAGCCTTTAGTGTGTCCCAGCTTCACAGCCATACACTGTAATCATTTTACTGATTGTGTTCTTGTTGTTTTGTTATAGAGAATTGTCAGTCCCACAGTGGTTCATCTTCCTCCACAAAAATCCTTTATTTTACTGGAAAATCTCCAACGCCTTCAATGATCACTATACCGAAGAGGTTTGTGTGCAGCAACAATTGAAAGAATATACTAACTGTACTGCTAGCTACACTGACTGAAGCGCTTCACACCTTAGACTGTATTTAAAAGATGGTTATTTTGGGTCTCTATAGTGTCATAAACTTGCAATCTTTCTAATGGCCAACAGGAGGCATGGTTAGAAAAGACGTTTGATTGTGTAGAAGTCTGAGAACACAGACCCCTCCTTTGATCTATGACCTCAGGAAAAACTTTCCCAATGAGTTTATGACTTCAATCATTAGTTTCACACCTTATTGAATATAACGTGATCATTTTGGAAATTGTGGACTCTGTTTTCCTCCGTTTCCTTGTCAGACCCACCTTTTACGTGCCACATGATATTGACAACGAACAAAATGCTTCTCAAAATGTGGCTGCTTCCATCTTCTGTATACAGTCTATGCCTGAGACTTATTATTTCTATTCGGCGTACTCTTAGGTTGGCTTATCTGATTTTGTAAAATCAGCCTGTGAGAGACAACGTATCCAATCACCTGCCCTTTCCAATTCCCATATGCTTCAGTGTAGTAAACTGTGTCAGGTCAGGCCAAGAAATTTGAAAATTTTAATTAGCGTGACACAGTTTCTTTGCACGTGTTGTCCAGGCTGGGTGAGGTGACTCTCAAGGATGTTAAGGCAGCTGTTGATCGAGAGGGAAACTACAGGTACCACTTTAAAGCCCTGGACCCAGAGTTTGGCACTGTGAAAGAAGAGGTGAGAAAAAGCAGCACAAGTGTAAAATCAAATCTGGTGCACACTGCTGAGAGTTTGTTATTATTACCTAATATGCTAAATAATCCTAGAATTTCTTGTACTAAAAGCTAATTAGTCTTTACTCTTGCCTGCAGGTATTCCTGGATGAAGCAGTTGTTCCAGGTTGGGAAGGAAAAATAGTGGCCTGGGTAGAAGAGGATTGTGGTGAGGAAAGGTAATGGCATGATCCATCTGTCTCTGTTTGTTCTCCTAAATCTCAGTGTTGGGGAGCTAATTATGTTTTCTGTCTCAGGCCGCTGTAGGTTCAAACTGAGAGGCTCTCGACACTTTTTACTGTGATCCCAGAGGCACATTAAGGCAGCAAAGGCACAAGTGGACTTGACCTTCTATCAAAATACTGTAGGAGCACGAGGTTTGGGTTCATTGTAACTGATGTCCATAATAGTGTAAAAGTCAGTGCCTTACACAGTAAAGCTATTTATGGACTCAGAAATAACATTTTAAAGGACCTGTCGAAAACCACAGTAGTGTTGTTGTTTCACCACAACTACAGAACATTTACTGTAGTCACTGTTTAGTTTTTATTACTTGTTCATCAGTGTTGCCTTCAAAGAGCCACCTCTAGATTACATGTTACAAATGGATGTTTTCTCTTATGTCTTCAGGTACGTTACAGTTTTCATTACTATAAGCTGTTACCTTCAGATAAAGAAATAGGATTTGGGGGATGGGGGGGGTGTTGTACATGTTTTGCGCTGTGATTTGTCTAAACTGTGGTCGACAAAATATAGAGAGACAAGACACGGCTGTATTTCTGTGTTTCGTGTTAGTTACATATGATGGCATGGCGGTCAAAAGGACTCATTTGTGAACTAAATCAAGAGGAGAGTTGAATGTGGCTTTGTAGCCAATCGGCGTGCCTTGTAAGCATGCTCAGATTGAACTTCTGATAGTAAAAATGCATTTTGTGTAAATTTGTGTCTTCACTATGCCTTTAAATATATTCATTTTATGCCTGCTGTTTGTTTAAAGAGATTATAAACCGAGGATGTCCCTCCTCTGCTCGAAATATGCTCTGGATGTGAATTTTACATCAGAACGTTCACAGGATCCTTGTTCTGTAACATTTAGCCATCTTTCTTTTTACTGTGTGCGGGTGTATGTGTGTGTGTGTGCTTGGGAAGTTAAACTGGTTGTCACACATGTCATTGTTTCTCCCTGCCCCTGTCTTGCTGTTTGGAATAAACTCCTGCAGAATCCATGCAGACGTCTGTTTATTAACTCCTGCTTGAATACCACGACTGGCTGTACTGTAGAACGTAGAATATACTGGTGAGAGGATTATTGAACACCTGAGCTGTTTGCTAAAAGTTATTTTTTAAGTGAATACTGTCTGTTAACAGCTTTTATTGTATGTTAGGTATTTTTGAAATAAAACCTGAGACTGTTTTTTAAGAAATGTGTTGTTCCCGTTTTTATATTGCACATGCAGTACGTTTCCATGAATATCAATGTCTTTATTATTGGTTTCACCTGAGATGAACTGGGATTGCAATGGGTTCACTCATTCCAACTGATACAGAACATATTAGGTTAATCTCTTCTATGATTGGTCAAGCTTTCATTATTTTCTTCATTTTTTCGGTGAATAAATGTCAAGGCGTTGCAAGTTGTCTCCCTGTTTATTGGAGCCTAAGGTGATTTTAATTAGTGAAGTAAAGTAGAGAATGATGGTCTCAAATGCATTTTCGGTTCATTTAATAGTTTAATCATAAATTATAATTGCAAGTCTGGACTCAACCCTAAACACTGGGAAATGAGGACTAAAATAAAAAGCATAAAACCAGAGCTTAGAGGTTAAAAACTTAAAATCTGTGTCCATTTAATGTGTTTTGTGCAGAGTTACCCTCATTGTGTTGACTACTATCACACAGAATTGGATGGATTGAAAGATTTGCTAATTCTTGAAAAGAGCAGAATTCTTGAAACAGAGTTAATTGAACAGATTCATATAAACAGAAAAACAACATCTTAACACAAAGAAAAGCAAAACAACCCCAGGGTGAAAAGCCTTAAACACATGTAGGTCAAAAGTCAACAAAGACAAAAACTCTTGGGCATATCAGGGCTCTTATTTATTTGTGAGGAGTCACCAACTCCTCCTTCTTTTGTTTTGTAGCTTTGTATACTTTGCATTTAAATTTATTAAATTCCCATCTTTTATTTCCCTGACTGAGTCCAAATCTTTTTCATAAAACACAGTTAGCTAGTAGATGAGACTTACTTTGATCAGTATGTAATTTTACACCATTTTGCGTCCTTCTTTATAGTCGACACATCACTTTCTGGACACTCCTGCTGGACTCTATCATCCATTGTCTTTATAGTTATTTGACAGGTCTGTGATGTGTTAGATATGAAATGATGATTATTTCACTTATAATAGGACTACCCCATCCAACTTGGCAGTTCTTGACTTCTTAACCCAGGTGCACTGCCAAGAATAGACTCTAAATCTCACTTCTACCACTTCAGTCAGTCTGTGCTATAGAAACAGCCGATACAGCACAAAAAATGACCAGGTGCATCTTCATATCAGCCATATTCTACCAACCATAAGGCATAATTTCCACCATGTTGGTAACTGGTTCCCATGTTTCATGTTTGTTCTCTTAAGTGCTCTGCTTACGCTGTTATCTTGTGCTCTAGTTGCTCCCGGATACTTCATGACGCATGTTTAAGACTCCCCTCTGGGATTCTGTTTTCATACCTGCTCTCTGGGAATTCCTTGGCGCCTCACCTGCATGCCCTCCTGCCCACTCATCACCTCGGACCCAACTGAACTCAGGTCAGCCACCTCACACTCACGAATCCTCCTGGACTCACGCCACCTCTATCACTCCTCCTGCAAGTAAGCTAGGAAAAACTGTCATACTCACCATCTCTTAAACTCACCCTTGAACTCTATTCTCCTCTCTCCCAAGTGTGACCATTACATACCAGCCATGATCCAGTTGCCTTCACTGTCCCGTTTCTCTGGTTGCTCATAGCTACGTCACCACGCCATGTTTACCAAACCACTGTATTTTGTCACTGCTAATTGTTACCCCCGTTTTAATTAAAAAACATTGTTAAAATGCTCCTTTCACCTCCGCTCTGGGTTACTGCACTTGGGTTTAGTTTAAGTTACCGGCCTCTGGCCCCTTTAGACATGCTCGTACGTCATTGTCATGAGACACACTCACACAAATAAAACATGGTTTAATGAAGCAGCATTCTTATGGGAAAGTATCAGTAGTCTAATTACTTTTTTGCAATAGTAATCCCTTGTTGCTTGAAAATTAATTGGATTACAGTAACACGTTACTTTATGTTACGCGTTACGTTTTTGCTATTTTTGAATAATAATGGTTCACACTCATTTGTTTCACAATGCGCATCATTCCACAGTGTCAGAAAAACAATTTCACACTTTAATGTTCATCCTCTTCACTATCTTCTCCTCTTCATCTGAGTCTCCACCCTTTTGTTCATTTCAAATCGTACTTATCGTCTAAATTTCCATATTCAAAATATAACAATAATAATACAAAAATATCAGACAGATATTTATATATCTCTGGGTTTGTTTCTTGTAAAACAAGATTTATTTTGTAAGAGCTCAGCAGAGATACTTTTATTCGGCAGCCATCTTGGAATTTTGAAAATTATTTTAAAAATTATTAATTGGCACAAAATAATAAAAAAAAAACTTTAAGACACAATAAATGTTCTTGTCTGTCTTCAAGTCATTTTCAATAAACAAATTCAATAAATCAAATCACATTCAGAGTTATTCTTGTATTTTCTTACATTACCACTGTTACAAGTGTCTATCCAGCCAATAGCCTAAAGTGCAGCATGTTAGCTACTAATAATATCTTTGTATTGTTTTTGTCCGGACCGATATTCACAGGCTTGCTCCTTTTTATTCTTGTGGAAAAAATCATTTAAGCACCGAAACGAAACAGATTTCCTGAAATTTACTGAAAGAAAGTTCAAACCTTTGCCAACCTACTCCTCTGTCCTCTTTAGTCCTTTCTTGTGTGTTGAAAATAAAGGCTTTAATATTCTTTGTTGTCTGGGTCTGCTTTCTGGGTCCAACTTGAGGCTTGGTTACAATACATACAGTATGTCAAGTGTGGCAAAGGAAGTGTTTGTACTCCTGGTGCTTCATGAAAACTGACACGACAGAACGTTTATCCTCTGTGGGATAAACACTGAGATTTCCTGGAGGTTTGGATGCACATTTACATCCAAACCTATATGGAGTAAAATAAAATGATCAATTATCAAGATACACAGAATAAATACAGAGAAATAAAAAAAACGACAGTAAGCAGTGTGAAGCCACTTATGAAAATGTAATATATCTTATTGCAAAAAAGTGTGTGGGGTACTGAGTCTATAGTGAGTAGAAACTTACTGTAATGTCACAAGTGGGAGGAGAGTTCAGTTCAGTGATAGCTGCTGGATAGAAGCTGTTCTTTAATCTGGCAGTGGGTGAATTCAGTAACCTGTACCGCTTCCCAGGGAGGAGCAGAGTGAACAGACCAGTGGATGTCCTCCAGAGGCGGCAGGGGCTGGCCGATGATGTCCTGAACAGCTTTTATCACCCTGTGGAGAGCTTCTCTGTCTGCTGCTGGGCAGTTCCCAAACCAGACTGTTATACAGTACGTCAGGATGCTTTATATTGAGCAGAGGTAGAAAGACTCTAATAGATTTGCAGACAGGTGGGCCTTCTTTAGTATTCTGAGGAAATAAAGTCTCTGTTGTGCCTTTTTAATAATAGGAGCACCGTTCCTTGTCCATTTAAGGACCTCCCAGAAATATAAAGCAAGCACCCTCTCTACGTCAACCCCTGATTCCAGTGGCCTGAGCGCCCCTGTCGCCTCAAATCATTGATTTCTCTCTTCTTTTTTTTTTAATGTTCAGGGAAAGGTTATTATAACAGCACCAATCAGATACTTTAATTATTTTGTGGATATGTGATATCAGCAGAGATGGGAAGTAATGAAGGACAAAGCTTAAAACCATTCAAGGTTAAGCTGTGATCTTTTTTTCTGTTTATAATTAACACTTTGTGAGTTTTTATGTCAAATAATAGCTGATGAGCTTTATCTCCATATTCTACCAGTTGGTGGTGGTAATGCATCATCATTTGAATATACTAATAACAGAGTTACATTAACTGATGATACTTAGTTTAAACAATCATTCACCACAGCATCACTCCATTAGCAACTGAACTAAACTGTATATTCTGAGTAAACTTAACTTTTTTTATTTCTTAAAAATAAAAATATACCTTTTAATCAATAGAGGTTGGTGGTGTACCAG